GAGCCCACATGTGTGCCCTTCTAGAAAAGGTGGAGGGTGCACAGATAGCGCAGAGGTAAAGCATTTGCCTAACATGTTTGGTTCTGAGGGGGTTGGAGGAGAACCACCAAAGGCAGAGCCACACATTGGAGAGGACCAAGCAAAGAGAACCAGAGACAGGAGTGGTACATGTGTGAGGCTGTTTGCCAGTACTTCCCCAGCCAACGCCAGGCGGGAAGGGGCCAAGTATGATCATTGCCTTCAGCAAGCAGATCCTGGTACTGAGACACTTACTGATTTGGGGGTTCTGGCTTCTGTGAAAAAAAATTATTTTTCTAGTCTACCGAATATGTGTTTCTTTGTTAGAGAAGCCCTGGAAAGCCAACACAGTGCATCAGTACTTAAGACCACTGGGGTGTGTTGCTAAGTGGTAGAGCATGCAAGAGGTCCTAGGTTCAATTCCTGGTAGCAGGATTAAAAACACAACAATAACAGAAATGAAAATGCCACCATGAAGATCAGGTGCATTGACATGTCAGTTAAGAAAAGAAATCAACAGAGAAGGTCCAGTCACACCCTGCTGAGGACGCTGAGGTGGATTCTCAGTACAGTAACAGAAGGACAGGCCCACTTCCTCCCCGCTTTTTCTCTGCTCTCTCCTTTAAGAAGCCAAACCAGAAAGAGCAGAAAACACATAAGCTGTCTGTTCTTCCATCAATCACAGTCTGTGTCAGGTGCCCATCAGCTGCCTCCTCCACTGTGAACCACAGTGCCAGATGCCCTGTTTCTGAATCTGCCTGACATGACAGGTCTTAAAGATATGAAAACAAGAACATGTTTCCTGACACCTGCTACTTCTGTGGGCTGGTCTTGACAGATTGCTGACCAAAACATCATTTTTACATTTTGCGATATGAACTCAGTTCCTGCTCTTTTATTATCTGTATTTCAGAGTCACAGGCATTTTCTAGCTGTCACATTTTTGTGAGCACAAGAGAAACAAGGAGCTAAGCTTAGATTTTACATTATGAGATCCCTCTGCATTTATTTTGAATTTATTCAAAAGCAAACCCTAAGTGAAGACTTTGGTGCAATTATTTTGGGAGCGTGGCATGATTTCAGGACTAAAGGGGGAGCAGCCTGTGGATGAGGGGGGAAAGGAGGGAAAGCAGATAGAGTACAGCATGTGTCGTGACGATTTCTACTGTGAGCATCTGGCGCTTGATTCCCCCAGGACCTACTGAGAATCCCACAGAATACTTCATACTGGAGGCAGAATAATACTTCGCCATTTCCCAGCCCTGACAGGGAGAGGATTATTTCTGGGAGTGTTTAATTCCTAAACTTCTATGCTGTATTTCAAACTGATGTGGCAACTCTGTCATCCCATGAGCAGAAAGACTCATAGTTTGTCACAAGAAGGTGAGTTGTGCAAAGCGGAGGTGTGCAAAGGGGAAGTGTTTCAGGGAAGACATCAAAGATGTCTTCTGAGAATTTGCTGCTAGGAGACAGTGATGGCAAGAAACTGGAGGAGTCTGTTCTGAGAAACTTAGCAGTCTGAGAAAAGCAGAGCTACAGATGCTGGCCCTGGAAGCCTTGGCTGCCCTGACTGACATCCTCCACTTCTTTTGCGATCCAGTGTCAGTGATACCATTGCATACAGCTAAGACTTTACAGCCTCCCCTACAGATAGGTGTGGCATGTACCTAATTCTTACCCAAAATGTGCAAGCTAAATATTGTGTGTAATTTCTTAAAGGACATTAAGAGCTGCCTTCCTTCCTTCCGTATGGTGCGCTGCCTGCAATGTAGGTGTAGTGGCTCAGTCTTGAGAAACCACTCAGACCCAGGTGACACAGAGTCATCCTAGAAGCCACAGACTATCAAATCTAGGTTGTCCTTACATGAGGAAAACATAAATAAATTTGAGTATTATTAACCATCTACTGTTGTGAATTTTTTTGCTGTGTTCAGCTAAATCCCACTCTATTCGATACATGGCAGGCCTGAGACACAGCCACCTCCTTCAAGAAAGCTTTCCAACTCCCCAGTCCATCCTCGAATATAACAGCATCCAGAAGACTTTCTTTCCCCACAGTCCAAACATATTGTACATCACAGAGTCACCAAACATTTGAAGAAAGTTTGCAATGTGAAATATGGAGACCAAACAAGAAAGTTTGAGAAATGAGAGACAGTCCTGTTAAAAAAAAAAAAAGTCAAAATAAAGAATGTTTAACATCACTACCATAAAAAGACGTATTACAGAAAACATCCAAATACAAACCATAATACATAAAAATAAATAGCAGGTGGATCTAGACAGTACTCCTTACAATTAATAACACAGAGCCAAGCAGATGCTCAGTGGGGAGCATTTGCTGGACACATGGAAGAGATAAGCTAGGATCTCCAGAACTCATGTAGAAGCCGGAACGTAGCACGATGCTGTAGTTTGCTTAATCTAATTCCTAAATCAATTGTCTTTGCACATCAAATACTGTTAGAACCCAGCCCCCATGAGGTCTCTAAGAGTTGTTTTCCAGCATAACCACAAGTACCTCCTGTTTTCCTGACCTCACCCCACTGGGATCAATATCCTGTTGTGAACCCTTTGACCTGGGGTTTTTGTAAGTTTGTATCTCCACAATAAAGGTGGGAGACATTCTCTCAGAAAAGGACCAGGAGTCTTGTTGTTCATCCAAATCTCCAGGCTTTAGCCCAATACTCAGACTTAGTGGCCAAGAGCAGCCACAAAATACAAAGATATGCTAGCGCTTCCTAGCAGAAAAACATTTCAAAATTCATGTTGGAAACTACCAATTTTGAAAAGAGAAAGCTAATTGGGGCCTTGCTATGTAATACACTCAATTCAAAAATGAGCAGTATGCTGGATAAAGGATAGCAGACACTGGTTGCAAAGTTCCCGTCTCTCTGGGGCGGGGGAGTCACGGGACACTTCCTGGCAAGTGTCCTTGGCTGTTATTAATTAAATGAGCACTTTGTGCCACGTTTCACTGTGAATTCTCTAAATCCCATGCAAACAGGAACAAGCATTAACTGAAGAGGCAGGGATGAAGTGCCTTCTGACCCTGCTGTTAAACTTTATAACATTCTCTTCTGCATTTCCTCCAGACCACAAGGATAAAGATGGGGGAAACGATCAACTGGCCCAGGTAGGATCTCAATGCATGCTGATAGCAACTAGCAATAAAATGTTCCTTGTCTAGCTTCTCTCTAGCTGTTCTCAGACTTTCCAAATTCCTGCAGCGTCCCAGAGGTTCCCAGAAGAATGAGGTCCCTTCCATGTGTCTAACTCTAAGGATATGAACTGGGTATGAGGTGAGGGAAGGGACATCGGAGAGGAGAATGAATTTACCACACCTTTAAACAGTGGTCACCAAGGGGCCAAAATGAGAGAAGAAAGGAACACCTCATGAGGAGAGAAATCTGCACAAATACATTTCAAGACAACCAAGCACACAAATCTAGAATCTAGAACTCTTTAGGCACACATACTTTATGTGTTTGTGTGTGTATACATACAGAGAGATACACAAATGTATGTAATGTAGAAATGTGTATATATGCATATATAAATGTATATATGAAAAGTATGTGGCTTCAGCAATTCCTTCTGAAATCTGGTTAGTTTATCGTATTTTGATAAAATAATTTAAGTGTGAAAAGTAGATAATCACCCCTGATGTCTCCTAAAGTTTACAAGATAAACAGCAAAACTGCATACTCTGTGCCAGTCCTGAACAAGCAGAGTGGGCCGCCTGCTAGCAGAGGACCCGTGTTGCATGGACCGTGTGGTTTGGCTAACTCTAGGTGAAGGAACCAGCTTCCCTTTCGGCAGCCATAACAGTCAAACACGTGCTTGCCATAAACCTGCCTTGGTCACTTAGAAGTCAAATGCCTGTCTCGTGACAAGGAACCTTAGTCACTAGAAAGTCAGATGCCTGTCTCGTGACAAGAAGCCAATCAGAAGTTAGCTGGTGGTGCTATGCTTTACGACCCTGGGTGTGCTTTATGGACAAGCGCACAGCAATGATGTAGAGAGCATAGCAACCACCCTGGGAGGGCCTGTGGGCCATAACAACCAGTTGACCAATCAACACAGGGCACGCCCTCCAAGCCTAGAGGCAAGAGGCACACCAATCGTGAGCCTGTGCGTACCCCTAGACACTCCCCTTACGCTGCCCTATAAGATCTTTTGGGAGCCCCTAGGAGCCGGCTTTTCTGGCCATCCGCCATGGCGGGTGGGTGAAAGACCCGAGCTAACATGGGGTTAGCTCGTTAAATTACAATAAATCCTCATCCAGTTTGCAGCAAGCTCGCAAATCTGACTGGTGATTGGGGTGACTGCGAACGTGGCCTGGGACCCCAGATACTTGAGTTTTCGGGGGTCTAACATAGGCACTCACAAATCGATGATTCCTGGCACTGGCGGACTAAGTGACTCCTCCTTTCCCTTTGCGTCCTGCCTTTCTTCCCATTGCTATTTATTTCCTGCTCTCAGGTCATTTGATTCTCAGGAGAGAATATTTGCTCTCCTGTTGCCTGCATCCTCTTTTTGTCTTTGTTTGTTTTTTTTTTTTTTTTTTTTTTTTTTTTTTTTTTTTT